ATCCGGGAATTCCTCCCATCACAATCCAGGAATCTTTTTACTGACCGTCTGTCAATGCCTCACATAAGCCGCCAGGGGGAAGAGTTTGTCTGTCTTTCAGGCACCAGGCCTCCATTCCTGGAACTGTTTAAAAGTTGATACTAATTCTACAAGAGAAATCCAACTGATTTGGTTAGAAAACAGTGTTGTGCAACCTTAAGGCTTCAGTAGGTTACAAATAAGTTAAAGCAATTTTTGTGGTCTAGTACAGATTACAAACTTTCCCTGAAAGTATGCTTTTCTTTGGAAAATAAATAATTCCCTTCCCCTTCCCCTTCTCTTCCCTTCTTTTGGATTCTAGTGCTATGTGATATATAGGTTAATACTACTGAAATGCTTAAAACAATAAAAGAATTTAAATTCTCAATATGCTAAACTGAAAAGATATTGTTCTTTCCTTCCAGCCTGCAGCCTAAAAGTGTACAGGCAGTTGGACATTTCCTGCTGGGATTTATGGATGTGAGCAAGCACTGGTAGCTTTTTAGAAAGCTTGTTTTTTTCCCCAGGAAATATTCCTGTAGACTAACATGACTGTGAATATTGGGGTAGGGGGAAGTGGGATGTTAAGGTGCATGGTTTTGTAATTTAGGATCAAGCACCTGTTCACTGAGAGAATCTCTACATAGTCCTCATCTGCTGTGCTTTGGTTTGCACATTACAACAGGCTTTGAGTATGTGAATATTTTGTGTGAAATTAACCTTGAAGAAGATCTCTGGCAGTGTCCCTAACGCACTTCAGCCACAAACAAAGCACCAGTCACTAGGACCAGACCAAAGCTAGGCTGAAGTAACAACTGCTAAAGTAGGTATGTTGTGGCTGTCAGGTCCTCAGCACCAAATGTTCTGCAGAGATTGTGCTAATTGCAGATGTAGACACAGACACATATTGAAATAGTCTGTAAACCATCTTTAGAGTCCTTAAAATGCTAAGCCAAAATTGCACAATTACACATGCTCTGCATACATACTAAAAACCTGGGCAAATCCTACCTGCAGATTCCTGCTCTCTCTGAAAATACTCGTGTACTAAGCCTGTGAAGGTGTCAGCAAAAGTCTCACTGACTGTTATGGGATGGGACCTGACTTTCTGCAAGCTCCACCTCCACTGCTACTGCAGACAGCATTTGGCTGAACTCCACAAGACTGTCCACTTTCAGCAGATAATATTTTCAGGAGGAAGTGTTGCCAGCACTGCTTTGAGCACCAAGGTTTATGACCGACTTGAAATTTGCTTTTGTAGGGAGAGAACTGGCACTGGCACCTTCTCTTTCTTTTTCTAATCCTCGAAACTACATTCTTCTTCTCCTCTTGCTCCTCCCCACCTGCATCTGCAGAAGAGCTGATTCTTGAGTGATTTACCAGGAAGCACAGACGAAAATCTTTGTGACCCTAAGCTCACTAACAGCAACACACTTCTGCTCCAGGAAGGGTCCCAAAAGCTTCTCATCCAGCAATTTGCAGAAAAAGAGGTCCTACAGATTTTTATGCTCTTGATGAAAGTCTTGCTATAATTACTGAGCTTAAGGGTACAGAATTTTAAAAATATCAAAGAGGACATATTAAGAAGCCCCATTAGCTGTGCTTCTAGAATGAAACCTAAGACTTCACAATGTCTGTTGCAGGGTTGTTTTGGTCCCTGTTCCACAGACCTTCCCAAAGCATTTCCCATGGGTTATGCTGGCACTCCTTGCACTGTATCTTTGTACACACACTGACAACATAGATGTAACCCTGCAGCTACTTGCCAGGTAGCATAGTATCATCTTAATTTTACTGATAAGAGTGACTTGTCTGAGGTCACAGTGGAAAAAAATTATCATCTTGATCTCCTCATGATTCTCAGTGGAGTTCCCTCTGTCTGACAGTGTAAATCAAAGGGAAAAAAATTAAATCAATGGAAAACTGGTGTAGCTTTTCATCTGTTATTCCTACATTCCTGTGCCTTTTGAGCTTATTAGATTGCCTTTCAGGGACATGGCTTTTAAATTTAATTAGCATGCTATTACTCTTTCCTCTATCTGACACAGAAAAGTTGGAATTAATTGCATATTGACTAACTGAACCACTTACAGCAAGGCAGTGCATTCATCCAGTGGTGTGCCCACTGGTGTGTGCAAGAACTTGGGGCTCACTGGGCTGCTGCTTGCAGGCTGTGGCCTGTAGTACTTGCAGGCACTGCACCCAGAGGAGCTGCTACCTCCAGCAGCAACCATGAGACCTGAAAGCAAAGATGGCTGTCTTGCTTGTGTTGCAAAGTTGCCTCATCTGTGCTGCCTCTGCCTGCAGCACTCATTGTGTACCATTCACACATTTTGTTTGTACATGTATGTGTGAATTTATCTATGTATTGTATGCATTTATAGCTGTGTAAATACATTTATCTGTACCGGGTCTGGCTGGGATGCAGTTAGCCTACTTATCAGCATTCCCTGTGATGTTGTGCTTTGGATTTTTGGTGTGTTGTTAGCACACAGGTGTTTTGGCTGTGTGCTTGCTTGGCATGAAGGTTTTCTTTTTCCCACTCTGCCCCCCTCAAGCAGAACATTCATAGAGCAGTTTGGGTTGGAAGGGCCCTTAAAGATCACCTAGTTCTGACCCCCGCTGCCATGGTGGGGGGATATATATTGTATCTATGAGTATACATGGGTCTAGAGGAGGGCCATAAAAACAATGTGGGGTCTGGAACATCTCTCTCATAAGGAGAGACTGCAAGAGGTGGGCTTCTTTAGCCTTGAAAAGACTGAGAGAGGATTTCATTAAAGCACATAAATATCTCAAAGATGGGTGCCAAGAGGATGGTGCTGCCAGACACTTTTCAGTGGTGCCCAGTGAGAGGGTGAGGAGCAGTGGCCATAATCTAAAGCACAAGAAGTTCTACCTCAACATGAGGAAGAACTTTTCTACACTGAGGGTGGCAGGGCCCTGGAACAGGCAGCCCAGAGAGAGCTCATGGATCTCCCAAACCCACCTGGACACATTCCTGAGTAACCTGCTCCAGGTGACCCTGCCTTGGCAGGGGGGTTAGACTGGATAATTTCCATAGGTTTCTTCCAACCCTAACAATTCTGTTATATTAAGGTATATATACGGTATGTATGTGTCTTTATACATACATATGGATGTATATTTAGACACAGCTGCATACAGCCATAGCTGCAGACGTCCACAGCACAGTTTGTGTGCGTGCCCAGACACTCACACCTGCGCTCCTGTGCCTCCACTGCCGCGTCCTTGGAGTACATGCAGGCGTGTACGTTCTGCACACACACCGCCCCATCTATCCCGCACAAACCCTGTCTCCCTGCGCTCCGCGTGTAAATCCCCATCCCCGCCTGCCCTCGCCGCTCTCCCGCAGGCCGGGCCGGGCCGGGCCGCGTCCCCATGGCAACGCCCGGGGCCGCGCTCGGCTCCCGCCCGTGGCCAGCGGCCGGCGCGGGGACAGCGGCACCGGGGAGCTTCGGCGGCGGGACAGGCTGCTCAGCAAGCGGCGGGCTCGGGCCGGCAGGGACCCTCGCTGCAGTGAAACCTCGCTGACTGTAACCCGGTTAGGGCCGGCGTGTTTGGCCAGCATGGCCGGCGAGCTGACCCAAAGTGTCCTCAAGAGAATAATCCGCCAGGTGGGCCTGGAGTGCTCTGCCCAGGGACAAAGCCTCTCGGAAACCTTGGTGGCCTTCATGGTAAGCGCGACAGGAGGCATTCAGGGGCTGGCGGCAGCTGAGGCTGTCAGGGGTGACCTGAACTTGGAAATACCTTGGTTTCCCATTGCCTGCAGTGAGGTGTTTTAAAGGGGCACTCAGCTCCAGTATTGGGTCCTAAAAACCTGGAAAAGTATTTTATTCCCCTGAAATCTTATGGGAATATAATGCTTCAAGGAGGCTGCAGGTCCTGAGTCCTGCAAACTCTCTGAACTCCAACTGGAGCTTTCTTCTGCAGGCAGATAAACCATTGTTTTCTTTCAGAAGTGAAAAAGAGAAGTTTTACCAAGTTTTAACAACGTTTCTTCACACTCTCATAAATGAACCTGTGACGCATAGATGAATGTTTAATGCAGCAGCTATATTTATTCTTCTATGTTCACCTCCTCCTTCTCTTGTGATGGATAATTTTGTTTCTCTGCTCAGACAGGGCCAGGTACTATAAATAGGCTGAATATTTGAAGGAATTTGCTTTGATCACATTTAAAGGGAAAATTTAATGACTTCAATCTCAATATTGTCCTTGGTAGACAACTTTAAGTATCCTAAAAGCATTTTACATTTTGGCATCTCTTAGGAGACACAGCACTACTGCAGAATATAGTCTGGATGTGCCTGCAAAGCTGTGTCTGAAGAAAGATGGGCTAGATTCTTTTTTTGTTGAAGATCAGCTCTTGATAAACTTGTATATAAATGTAAATGCTTCACAGCAGTACTGTTAATATGCTATTTTTTCCCCTAAAGGTGACACTGCAGCTTTAGGAAAAAGATTGGGCTCAAAAGCAGTATTAATCAATTAAGCAGGAAAATTTTAATGAGTAAAGAATTTGTACAAGTGGCTGGCAAGACACCTAGCATGAACACCAATTGCAAACATGCACTTATTTTCCTGCATGTAGAACACTATGGGGTTTTTTATTCAAATGGTAAATGTTTATATCAATGCATATAGCACCGACTTAGAAGTTTATAAACAACCATGATGGATTTTCAAAAAAATGTTACTTAAGAAAATATTTTTCCAAGTAAATTTTAAAGGAGCTATATTTAAATATTTGTATCACTTTTTTTTTTGTGCCTGAGAACTGAGATTGAAACTGGCAAGATGTGAAATGAAGTAATTTGTTTCATTATCAAAGACTGAAATGGATAAAAAAATAGTAAAGAAATATTAAATGCATCTGAGATATTTCAGAAAATAAAAAGTGAGTTGCAAAGATGATATTTTGGGACATAAATTAGTATCTTTCTTTTGGCAATCTCTAGGTGAAAGCTGTTGTGTTAGATCCAAGAAATGATTTTAATATGGATCGAAGCCTTACAGAAAAGGATATCCAGGATCTTATCCAGGTAATTCTGACATGATGTTGAGAGTCATTACTTATTTAAGACTATAGTATTATTTGCTCTCTGCTCCTGTTAACTAAAATTACATGAACACTTTCAAAATTTGAGTGCTGCTTTATTCTCATGGCTCTGTAGCTAACGACTGGACTATGTTTCCATAAATAAATGCCTTAGAAAACCTTTATATGGAGAAAATGGTAGTGAGGGGGCTCTACAGCTGTTGTGAAACCTTTAGTAGATCACTGTCAGTTCAGATGTTTCCCCAGAGATGAGAAAGAACTCACTTCTCTGACTCTCTTTTTAGCTCTGTGTTACCAGACTGCTTGACACAACAAACCCATCCCTAAGCACAATTAAGATGCAAGTTTACTTTGATATGAACTATGCAAACCGAGGTAATTTCAAATATGTTTTCATAGAAGTTGATGCTGAGTTTATAATATAAGAATAGTAATTACTGTTAAATTAATCCTGTCAGTAAACAAAATAAAATCCCAGGAGAAATTTACTGTACAGGAGTCTGATGTTTCAGTATGGATATAGCAGGGAAAAGTGTACATTAGATTTGAGAGTACACTCTTCTCATGCTGTCTGAGAGATTTACTGAATATAATGTATGAGGCTGCTTGAGGACATTTACACTCTCAGTGGTTAGCTGCCTTCAGCGAGAAAAGCTTGCACCTGCACTTGTGTGTCTGAAGGCCCTCAGAAATCAGTATTTTATCAACATCCCTAACTGGGAGATTTGAGTAATCTTGAACAAGCAGTTACAGCTTTAGCTGACTACGTTTTTCTCTCATCAGTAGTAATTTCACATGATCTGAGAATGAGAATGTGAAAATAAAATGAAATGGAGAAAATGCCTTTGCTGTAAATGTAATTCCTGATCTCAAAGGGACAGTGGAGGCTGGCTGGGAAATAGAAGACAGAACAAGCATAGATGTGAAAAAAACATTTCTCTGTGGGGAGATAATGACAATGTTTTCCTGTTAGCATGGATTAAAACTAAAAATTAGCAACATGGGGAGCTTCTCCTAAATTCTCTGAACTCTATATGCTCGGTAGCTCCAGCAAGTTTTTGAGATCCTGAGGAGTGTTCCAACTTGAGCATGTAACTTCAGGCGTCTTTGAAATATTGTGTGTGTGTAAGTTAAGGCCTCCTACAGTCAGAAGAGTTCAGAGAGCCAGAGACTTGCTGTCTGGCTTGGCCTGAACGGTTCTCAGGACTCTACTGACTGATGTTAGTCATGCTAATTAACATCCCATTTATGTTTAACTCTGCTGGTTTTAATTCTAATGATGTGGTACTACAAACATCTCTTTCATGTACCTGTGTTTCAGAAACCTAAAGTTGTGCTCTGACTGTGGAAATGAATTACACCCTCTGTATAGGGCAAATTTCAAAGGATTTGGATAGCACTTTTTAAGTGTCCTTCTTTCCTAGATGAATTACTGAGTGAGCAGGAGCGTGTTCTGGAAGGAAAAGTGGCTCCTGTAGTTAGAGCCGTCACTGAGAGTGGTCCACATACACGAGAAGAAATGGAGAATATGTATCAAAAGATTGTTGCCTATGTGCTGCTGAGATCTGGCCTGGGGTCCCCAACAGATATTGAGGCTGTCAGGGAGGTAACAGGTCAGTAAACCCCCAGCTGTGAAATTTGGCTCTTCTTCTTGAAAAAATAAAATTTCACTTCCTCTTCACTGATATTTACATACAAATGGGGTAAACTGTGATGAATGCTTGCTGTCCAAACCGTCACTGCTTAGCCTTGAAGTGTAAATTTCCCATATATTTCCTCCTTTTGTTTAGGAGAGGCTATTTTTGCTTATTTAATGATTTTCTTTTCTATTCCCTCATATTGAGGGTTTTCTCTCACTAATGCTTACAGCTGCCTTGCAGAGTATATTCCCCCAGACAGAAATGATTACTTTCATCTCACTCAGTAAGAAGGACAAAGAACAGCAGCTGAAAGATCTTGCCATGCTAGTGACAGGAATTCGTTTGTACAACAAGCAGTGCCAGAGAGGAGGAAGCTGCATTGATGACTGTAAGTAAACAACTGCATTTGAGCTGGGTATTCCCAATTCATTCTACTGGACTTCTTCACTGGAGCTGCTCCAATAATTTCCCATCTCAGGGAGGTGTGTTATTGTTACTGGTATTTTACAAATTAGGAAACTGAGAATTGAAAATTGTGCAGATACTCTCAGGAAACCCATGTCAGTTGTAGCAACAGAGTTGCATCTACCATAAAGCAAGTTTTCTCACATTCCTTGACTTGACTGTGGTATTTCCACACCTGTAATTCTAAATATTTGCAACAACCTGACTAGTGAGATAAGGTGATTTAATCTGGTTTACAAGTATTTGGAAATGCATGAATATAAGAACAAAATGTAGAAATCAAAATTTAATTGGAAGACCGTTATGCTCAAATATTGCACTTTAACCATGTGATAATGACTTCATTAATTCCTTTTATACACATTTCATATTTATTCCACATGACTAGTGCCAGAGATCCTGAGTGAAGCCATTCCCTCGGCTACGCGGACTCTCGACGAGCGTCTGAACTCCTGCCAGCTGCTGGCCCACCAATACACAGCCCTGCTGGAGGCCATGCAGGAGGACCCCCAGAGCTTCTCCCAGCTTAGATTCCTTAAATTAAAAGAAGCACTATTCAATGTGAGACAGTATGAAGCCTTCCTTTGCATCCTTCAGGTGAGGTGTTATATCCTCTGGACTTCTAATGCAGGTGGAATGTCTTCAAGTTACCTACTTGCACAGGACAGAAATATAAGGAAAAATATTTGGAAATAAATGAAATAAAATAAAATATATGTTTAGATAAAGAACCAAAGATTGTTTAGCTTTGGAAATACCTTTAAAATCATTGAGTCCAACCTCAATGATTTGATAAACTTGTATATAAATGTAAATGCTTCACAGCAGTACTGTTAATATGCTATTTTTTCCCCTAAAGGTGACACTGCAGCTTTAGAAAAAAAACTGGACAAATATGGCTGACTGGACAGACTGGCACTGTCAAGTCCACCATTAAACAGTTCTTTGCATACTAATTCTCTGCCCCAAAAGGCATGAGGAAAAAAATCTCCTTGATCAATCCTTAAATTCTCAGTTTTAGTCTGCAGACACCCCCAAAATATATGGAGTCATCAAAAGTCTTTGGAGAATACAATTTAAATTCTTGTTTTATTACTGAAGAGCTTTTCATTTGTCTTTAGAGAAACTGCAGTTTTTTATTAGTCTTTCCTGTATAAGGCATTGAAAAAATGTACTTTTTTTTTCTTTTTGTTCTCTTCATTGGGAAAATCCAGAGGATTTTCTATAAAAATTGTAAGTTTATGTGTGACCGAAGTGCCTGAACACCTGAACATTTGAGGAAAAATGTATTCTGTGGATAGCTAGAGTACATTTTGTTCCCTAAAAGAATTGTTCTGAAAATAGTTGAAAGAAGAGGCCCGGGTAAATACTTGTTACTAAATACTTGATTTTTGGAGTGTTATACGTTTTGCCTGTTGTTCTCTTTCCAGTCTAATGCAATTACAAGTGCTCAAGAAGTTGAATCGTTGGATGCTCGGTTTGAAGCGGCAATGATGTTATTGAAAAACACAGTGCAGGATAAGACTTCCGTAGAGTCCAGAGAAGTTTTTGTAAGTATTATGAATAGGAAACTCATTACTTCTTCAGTAGAAAACATTAATAAAGTAAGATACTTTGCAGGTGTGTTTTTGAGTAGTTTATGTTTAGCAAGAGGCTACAAATTTTCCCTATATTACAATATCAAAAATCTGGGATTTTTGAAGGGACAGACTTGCTCTTAAGGTAAAAGACTTGCTCTTAAGGTAAAAAAAGGTAAGGTACAAAAAGGGAGCAAAGGAATTAAATAGTATTTTACTGTAAGTGTCTTGAGTTGTCATTATTTGTAGATTTCCTTTTTTATGTGTGTATATATTCTTTCCCATTCATTGCAGAAACTGTAAGAACATAATGATTGCAGAAAACAGCACAACTGAGTATGATTCTTTTAAAGTTCCCTCACATAGCAATCCCTGTAATTACAGTATGAGTCACTGATAAAATTTTTCTGAAGAAACTGGGTTTCTGTGATGGGTGTCAGCCTCTTTTCCCCTCCCAATAGCTTCTTAACCTGTTGCCAAGTTTCAGTCACATTTGTCAGAGTCAAAAGATCTCAAAATATGTAATTTTCTGCAAGTTTTATGGGGGAAAAATAAGAGCAACTAGAGACACACAATTAGAGTGTTACCAAGATCAGGTCTGAAATGAGGTTTGTGTACTCTCTGGCCAGTGAGCAGCCACTGAAGGATTGTGATTCTGTACCGTTGTACCCTTGGTTGGGAGCTACAGGACATGGGAAGGAGGTATTGGGGGAAAGGGAATGAGTGCTGTGAACTACAGGTATTATGAGGGAGGCTGCTTAATAAGCCTGTGAAAACCTGGGAATATTATGCTGGCATGTTATAAAGGAAACAGGAGAGAAATACGCTAGAAACCAGCTTCATTTAAATTTGCTTTTCTTGTAAGAGCTCATTATTTTGTGTGATTTGATTATCATTCCAATTCCTTGTGGTTGGCTGCTGCACCAGCATGCAGTTTCATGCATGTTTTAGGTTATTTTTTCACATTCTAAGCTAATTATTAGAAAGGAAAAAAAAGCCTACTGCGGAGGAAGAGGAAGATCATGACCCCCACCTACTCAGAGTATTTTTTACACTTCCCATAAGAGCATCCAAGCTGGAAACTCATGGGAACAGCACTTGACCTGAATGATCCAAACTTCAATTTATGTATGCTTTTGATTTTACAAACCAGATGTTCTTGTTTGGAGAACATTTTCCCCTTTTGTCCAGCTACTCAAAGCAGTTTTTCCTCTTCTGTATCTTTGTGGGGCTTGAGTGACTGATATATCTTACCCTTTTCCCTAAAAGCTGTCTATTGTTGTTTGCTGCCTTCCTGGAATTTTTTTCTCTTCTGGTTGGTTAGTTGTTTTGACTTCTCTGCTGAAGACAAAATATATAATGCCTTTCAATTTCAGATCCTTTTCAGGAAGAGATTTTTTTATTAACACACTATTTAAATAATTTTTCTTGTCTTTGGCTTGTTGCCAACAAGCTGGATCCTCTACAAAGGTGGAGATACAGGGCATTTTGTCTTTTAAAAAGTATAAGATAAGGCCTATATTTGTAGCAAACACTTGTTTTAGGAAAAGTAGTATATTTCATTAATATTCTTTGTTTATTCTATTAAGAATGTTTTTGATCTTCCTTTAGTTTCTTCCATTTTTGTAACCATAACATTTCCACAGCATTAGCAATGCTGATGAATTTCAGAGCTGGCTCTATTGGCTGCTCTTATGATAATGTTGTTAGCATGCATAAAATGTGTGGTTAAGTGTGCATTTCAGATTGATTGAATCTCTTGCTGTAAATGCTCTCTGTGTGTTTAGGTGTAACAGGGCACATTTTATGTCACTGTCATTGACAACAGCATTTAAACTTAAAACTTATAGGCTGCTACTTTATGTGCCTACACCTGTATGCCAACAGCATGTCAGTACTGGGAATGGCAGCCTCCAGTTTTGCCTTGAACCCTGGACAGCTCTGGAGAGGCCTGCATCCCTTCCATTTGAGACACATGGTGGCCTGGGGCTGTGGTGCCAACTCACTCTGGAAGCAGGGCAGACAAAATAACAAACCGGGTAGTTTGTATAGAGGTGTGGTTTTACCTACTTTGGTAATTAATCAGGTGTGTTCCTTCTGGTCCTTACTCCTGTACGCCATGTTTTCAGTTACAAAACTGTATTGTCAGTGAAGTGCTAAATTCAAAGCATGGTCACAGAGTACATTTATTTGAGAAAGGCTCTGAAGTAAAATATAGAGAAGTACAACTCTTACAGTGTCCCTGAATTCCCCTGGAATTTCTGGTTGCTGAAGGCCTTGGAGATCAACCCTGCTTTGTTCATAGCTGAGATTGTTGTGCACAGTTGGGTTACACCGTAGACATAAAACAAATCTGTATTTCAGATAATTTTCTTTATGTTCCAGCCTCTGTTTATGGAACTTTCTAAGCTTTGGGCCGGCTTTCAGGATGAAATGCTACTGCTAAGCTTCCTCACAAATATGGCTGACAATCTGCAACAATTCTTGGAAATCCAATCACAGCTTTTTCCAGAGGAAATGCTAACATCTCTTCTGGAAGGAGTGACTGTGAAAAGTGATGAGGAAAGGATAAAAGAAACCATGGGTATGGAAAGTTGAAACTTTTTGATTTTCCTTAATTTTCCAAGATTTTGTAGTTTGAATTTTCTTTACAATAGGTGCTTTACAGAAGGTGTGCTATATTGATTATTTACTACTCAGAATTTGCACAGTAAATTAAAATGAGCCTTGTAGGGTATAGCTTTACATTTTCATGTAGTGTAGCTCGTGATTCTATTTTTACATATAAAGTTAAAATAAAGTTTCTAGATACAAATATGCCTTACAAAAATTTCAGAATGATCAGAGAATATATTTTTTAAAAAAATTTTTTTGAAGTGTATTAATGTCTTTTTATACATTTCAGAACTTTGGAAATTGAGGGGTAGAGTATAAACAAAATGATTTAACAGGGCTTTGGTTACCAGAAGGAATTGTTTGTAAGATGGTATCCTCAGGAACCAAGTTTTATGCCAGGGCGTTTGTAATGCATGTGTGGGTGAAAACAAAATCAAAGATTAAACTATTGTCTTCCTGTTGTTGTCCCACGTTTTCAAAGAAAACTAATGCTACTAAAGAAGGTTCTCACAGAACTGATTTTCAGTAGGTTTGCTTTCAAGGCAGGACGAAATTTTGCCTTCTGGGATCTGGGCACTCCAGGTCATCCTGTGAAAACCAGAGTAATCTGGTCATCCTGTAATATCATTAGCTTTTAGACATCTGATATTTTAATATTGAAGTCCTTCCTTTGTTTTATCTTTTCTTAGAAACCAGAGTGAATGTTTCTGATTTCACAAACCAAGAATGGCTTTTTCCAGAGACTACTGAAAACTTTGATCAGTTGCTGATCCAGTACCGTGGTTTCTGTGCACATTCAATTGGTGTGAAAGGTATCATCCTACCAGGTATGCTTTGTGGTTAGATATTTTCCATACAATATATTTACACAAGGATTAGGAAAAATGTAAAGGCATTCTGAATGCATCCTCTTATGTCAAAGCTGGAATACTGTTTTTCTACATTTGCAATTTTCACCCCAGGTAACTTATTTCCATTGTTAAAGTATCTTTTTTAAAATACATAAATAAACTGCCCTTGGTAGAAGGCAGGATGGCTTGAAGAGGAGCAAGGGCAGAAACAAGATGGGATGGATAAATGTTTCTTCCTGCTCTGTGTGTGTCTGTATAACCTACACTGCAATTGAATACAGGTTTGGTTACTGCTGTTAATGTGCTGTAGTGCAGGCATAGGGAACTGGCAATTCCTTCTGTTTTGTGCATCCATATGTGTAAACATAGCCATTCATGCTTACCTCATATGTATTTTAAATAGTCATGACAAAGTACTAAAAATCTTTCCTGAAAAGAATACAAAAGTGCACTTGATTAAGTCAACTAATTGTAGGAATTTTTGGTCTCTCTAGGCTCATCTGTCTTGAAAGTTAGCCTTACTTCAACTATCCTAGTTCATGTTTCCCATCTTCCTGTTCCTTTCTAGAACCTGTCCATATATAATTTTTTTAAACCTATGGGAGTTTGGGAAGAAAGTACGGCCATTTACTAGTCAGTACTAAAGAACAGATATTTTTATGGCAATGTAATTTACTTGCACTTAGTACTGCACATGAGAACATCTGTCCTTAGTTGGATTGAAGGTCTCTCTAGCCCTGTATCTGATTACTGCACATGGACGGTCATGAACACTTTAAAATTATGAGAATTCAAGTCAGAGTGATCTTTCTTTAATTATATCCTTTCAATCCTAGCAGTTGGTGGTTATGGGATTTCCTCTGATTAATGTTAAGTCTGTAACCTTCTGTTGAATAATCCTTCAAAGAGGTTTTAATTTATCTAATTGATTCTGGAATCCATCTAGAGTTTGTCATGGGATATTCTTATTCTCAAGAGCCCCACAATTATAATTATACATGCTATGAAAAGGTACCTCTTTTTGAGATGGTTTTAAGCTCTGGCTTGATAATTTCAACGAACACTTGATAGTCCTTCTGTTAGGAAAATTACTAATTAGTAATTTTATATTGCACACAATTCATGGTTTTATAACCCCCTATCATATTATATCTTTTTTCTTTTTAATGCTGAGGAGGCTTTCTTCTTTAATCCCTCCTTCTATGAAAGGTATCACAAGCCCTTGATCACCCCTAGCTCCCTTTTACTTGTTCTGTTGTGTTGGAACAAAATGTATTATTACAAATATTATTATAGGTTGTTACAATATTGGTTTTCTTCTCTTCCTCTGTTTGCATACTAATAATTCCTTTTTTGACTGAGTGTGTTCAAGGTCTGTGATGATTCTGGTCTTTCCTGGGCAATGACATCTGAAGCCCAACCTGCCACTGTCCTTGAAATCAGTTTGTGTTTTCCTGTATAAGTTATTTGGCCTTTATTGACACTTCATTTTCTCTCTTAATTTGATGTTTGGCTTCCCAGCTGCTTTATCTGCTTCTTCAGTTCATGTCAGAGTCATGCCCTTTGGTATAACTGCACTACTGATCTGCAATCAGATATTTGCTGAACATTTTAGGGGAAACATTTGAGGGTAAAGACTGATTTCTTATGCCTTTGCTATATGTGTTTTATCTGTTGTTTTTCTGAGACATGCACCCTAAGGCATGCTTGATATGAACTGATCAAAAGCAGTTTTACTGACCTAACGAAATAGAGTTTTCTATGTTTTAAAAAAGCTTGCTTTTAAGGGTTTATACTGAGTTCAGAAATGAAGGAAGTGAAACTAACTCGAGGCAAACACAGAATCTTGATTACAAATGTCTTATTGGATATCATGCTGTTCACTATTTTGATTTGTGGGGCTTATTTTGGGTTAGTTTTTCTTCTCACTTTTAGGAAATCCTGCTATTGGAATTTTGAAGCACAAGGAGAAATACTATGTTTTCAGTTCAAAAGAAGATGCATACATCTTTGCTAAAGATCCAGATAAGTTCATTCAATTGAATATAGAAAAAGCCAAAAAATATGCAGAGCTAATTCAACTGCTTGAGCTCCATCATCAGTTTGAATACCTTGTTCCACATGCACAGGTACACACTGCCCATGCCTCTTGCTGAACAGCTGCTGGGTCACTGGTTGGTCTGTCCTTTCTAAAAGAGAACAGATGATACCTATCTTTAGGAAAGAAGTAAAATCCTCTGCCTGTCTGAAGCTCCATCTTTTACAAGTCTTCAGAGTGTTGAAGAAATGTTTCTACTTACTGTCATTCTCACCTTATCTATTCAGAGGAGAATATGTAAATCCAAAGCACTCTGGCAGTGGTAAAAGCTGCTAGTCCATAGCCTAGGCAGGTCTTGTGTCTGATGTTTCTTTTCCTCATTGCTGCAAAAGTAGCTTAAAGGACCAGTAAATAAATGCCACAGAAGAGATGTCAGATATCACATTAAGTGGAGCTTTAGCTCAGCAGTCCATCCATGTGTACTGGATGAGGGTGTAGTTGTATCTGGGGACAGAAGTTATGGAACATATTAAAAAATAAAAGGAGAGTCACCAATAATGAATGTGATGGTGTTATTCTGGGAAATTCAAAGACTTGGTTTGGATTTATAGGCAACATTCTCTGTGATCCACTTGTGAATTTTAGATCCCTAGCAGTGGAAAGAATGTAGTCTTGAACTGGCCCTTGGTTTCAAATATAGTTTATATCCCAGCTATAGCAGAGATGTGTGCACTTCTCCTAGTTATGATTTGTGATTTTTAATCCATTCATGAAGACAAACTGGGGTGCCTGCATCATAAAATACTGGTGATGGGGCCCATTTTTTCTAAAATCCAACAATTAAGCACTCACTCGGTTGGCAGGAGCCTGCAACTCATCTGTGGCCTCTGCCTCAAAGGTTTTCTGTCAGAAATTAAATCCACCAGGTGCTAAATGTTTTCCTTTTAGTGGGGGCATGGGGAACAAAAATATTGTTGAATGTAAAAATAATTATCCACTTGTGGTTTGCAGGTCTCTATTTGCTTTTAAAAAGTACCATACCCATATGCTATTTCTGTGTATTCTTCTCAATGCCTTGCTTGGCTTTGGTTGTTTGTTTTCATCCAGGTCAGAAAGGCAAGCACAGGTTCAACAAAACCACCCCAAAAACGTGAGAGTGGTACTCAAACTGATACTCATATCTTGCCTCCAACTATTGTGAGATCCTATGAATGGAATGAATGGGAACTGAGAAGAAAAGCTATAAAACTGGTTTGTACTGTTATCAGATTTTCATTGTTGGATATAACAAATTTATAATAAATTATTCTTAATTTTTGTTCCTTGAAACATAAATCTAACCTTTTAGTCAAAGACATATACTTCATTACAACTGTTCCAATCTTTTTTCTAGATATTCTCCTTATTTTTAGACTTTTCTCACTTCTTACATATTTTCCCTGTTTTTTTAGCAGTGCTTCCACTTCTATATCTATTAATTTCAAATTTTTCAGTTGCCTTCTTTATGTAATAAGAGTTTGTTGTTTTGAATTGAATTGCATTGGATATTAAGGTTGTTCTACATTCAAATCAATTTATTTGGTTGAAGATACTACTATATAATTTCTTGGTGAGAAAAAGCCAAAGCAAATGTTTGTCATACTATCAGGATTTTCTGATGGATTGGAAATCACAGTCTGTCCATAGAAGGTTGACCCCATATGTACATTAAAACTTTTAAATTAACAGTAAATATGTCAGAAGCTTCTTTCTAGGGTTTGCCAGCACATGTAGTTGTCAAGGTATAACACCTGATTTTCAGATTCAATCAAAATAAACAACTTGTGAGTACAGGGAATATTGCAGTTAACAATATCAACTGAACATATAATACTAAAGGTTTTTTTTTAATTCTGTGAACAGATGCATTGTGGAGGTCTGTGGCCTACTGGGCAGCCTATTTCCTTCCTGTTTTCCTTTTTGCCATGAAATCTCTAACATTATGAAAGGAAACCAAAATGTTGGACTGAGGAGTCTTGCCAGTGTTGCTAGCTCATAAAGGATTCTAAGAAATAGTTGTTACTGAGGTATATAAAGAAGCCAGTTAGGTTTACAAGAAGCCTAGCTAAAAGCCTCTTTTGCTTCTGTAAAGGATAAAAGTACATAAATAAACATAAGATGTGGTCAGTGGCTCTTCAGCATAAGCAGAAGTGGATATTTTCCAATATCTGGTCATGAAGACCATTCAAAAACAAATTTGTAGCTCGTTAGTGTGAAATATTTAGAGAAAGTACTTTAAAGTACTAAGGGTGTTCTAGCCTCAGCTGTCCAAATGTGAGATTAGTGATATGGAGCTGAAAGAAAAAATCCCAGATGCATGCAAAAGTGCTTTGACTATGCTAATTTGTAATATGGAGATGATAAAACATTTCATAACAAAGTGATAAAATAACAGAAATAGTTTACCAGTGCATCAATGAATTTGATACTTCAGGAAAACATCAGACATATTTGTGGGTTTTGTTAGAGGATGAGCTCACATGCCTTTGGTGTTTTTTGTGTTGTTCATACTTAGCCAAAAAACTTGTAGTGGTATGAAATATTAAGCTATTACTTTGTTAGAAAACCTATATGCTGTTAGAAGTAAAATTTTTAGCTCACATTTGTTTCTCTGTGCAAGCATAGTTCCTTGTAATAGCATACATTCCATCATTAAAACCCTTGGGAAAAAAAAATCCAAAACAAAACTTAATATATTGTCTTTCTTCCCATGGCATCTTCTCTGTAAGTTCCTTATTGTTCTTTGCTGGATTCTGCTTGATGACTCTGCATTTAAGATTCAGTTGTAGATTAAGGTACCAAAATGTGCCCATATTTAGGTGCTTCACCTGCCATTTCAGCAGAGAGAGACCTCAGTGGTGGAGGCTGGAGAATATTTTAACTTGCCCTGATACAACACTTAGGACATTTGGCCAGCTGTATCACTCTCCAGCTCCCACTGACTCGTCTTCACTGACTGGACTGGACTCCAGGGACTTCCTCACTTACTTGGAGGGGCCTGAGTTCCAGCATGAGACTGTATTTTGGGTGTTTTGAGGACAACATTATATAATAATTTACAGTGTTTTACATTATTGCTGACACAGAAGGCTCAGTGGAATAAAGGAACATTTTTTTGTTTCAAGTGCTGGCTTTGGAATATTAACACTTTGTGAGAAGTAGTTTTGTTGTTGTATCTATGGCAATTTCTGGGAATAACCTGCTTTAATCATAAATTGCCCTAACTTTTACCCCTGGTCAAGGGGTTAGGGTTAAGGCATTTTTTCACTTTTATCTGATACTTTGTGACACCAACCTCTAAACCTCATCACATTTGGCAGAAACCAGACAAAGAGTGGAAGCAGTTGCGATGAAAACATTTTATTCTAACAAAAAAAAAAAAAGGTGAAGCATTTAACAAAATTTGAAGGACAATGACCAATGATATGAAATTATTAAGAGACTCATTTAAAATTGTGTGGGGCACCTAAAGTGCTGTTCACACATCCTGTTAGACGAGGATTTACCAAATCACAGTCACAACTGTGTATTGACAGGAGGGTAAGGTGAGCCATGTTCCAGGTTTGTGAAGCCCATGGATGTAAAATAGACCAACACTCCTGAGTATAACCTGGTGCTAAAATGTTCAAACAAAATTTTGCTTAATCTGATTCTTTTTGTGTCTTTAGGCCAACTTGCGGCGCATGCTAACTCATTCCATGCAGACTGATCTCAGCCACATGAGAAGGGAGAACTGCACCCAAGTGTACCTGCCAAAGGAAGCTGGCACCCAGACCAAGCGGGACAACTCAAGCAATGTACCCAAACCCCAGGTGTTCTTGAGAGGTCTCCGAGGAGGATCATCTCCCACCACACATATGGTGGCAGTAGACTTAACAAGGCCACTGGATGAAACTTAAGTGAAAATGAGAAACCTGAAGCTGCATCTTGAATGTGTATATAAAAATCCTGAATATATGTGAATTTAGACACTAAAGATTTTGCTGTGTCTGTTGATTCCAGGAACAGTTGGTCTGTTTCATTTATCTTATCTGTTGGGACTGCTGACTGGCATTAAGTGACAGAAGTGATAAGCCTGAAGCACAGATTTTAAATAGCAGTTTAGAATCAAGATGTTCCCAAGGACTTTCAATTCCAACATTTAAATATGTAGCATTCTGGGATTTTACTGACGTTTTAATGCAACAATTGCTTGTTGAAATACTGTCTTTAAGTGAAAAAACTTACCCCAGGAGAGTCACTCAAATGTCACAGCTCCAGCCTTAGAGCAGAATTGTCAAGAAGGCAAAACCAACAAAATGAAACCAGTCTGGGTCCTTGGGCCTGTCTGTTTGTGCTGGCATTAACCCAGCCCAGTGAGTGCAGACCAAGGCTGGGAGGTTGACAAGAGGGCTTCTGTCTTGGGTGGTTCTGGCACCCTTTTAGGTCTCTAGCAATTTCTTGGCTAAACAATGTACTGGTGAGCACACTGCAAACCACAGAACCTGACTTCAGGGGACCTTTTTGAAGCTTTTGCTTGTGTTTGAAAAACTAAAGCACAACAGAGAAAAAGTTTTTAGCTTTATGTCACTGTGGCAAAGAATTATGTGCCAGGTCTGATCAATGCAACTGCAGATGGTATTTCTGTGTGTGAAAACACAAATTAATGACAATAAAGACTTCCTCAAGCTGCTGTCTGCACAATGTCCAGGTGCACAACTGTGATTGCATAGGGCGTGCAAAATCTTTTTTGTGTGTGTGTGCATTGTGATGCGGTGTGGTTTCCTGGCTCGTAGCTAGACAAGATTGTGACAATGAAGATTCAAGCTGCTGAGTGATTTTTCTGTGGCATTGTGCAGGATAGCACTCTCTTGTTGTTTTCCAAGGTATTTGGTTTCACTTTTAAAAGTTACACAACAGGGACTAATCCCCAAAGCATTATTAAAAAAAAAAAAAAGGAGTGTAAGGGGAGCACTAAGAAAGAACTTGGCTAAATTGTTTTTGACTACGTGATTTGTGATTTTCTCTGTTGGGAAAATAAACTAATCAGTAGCAGCTAGATGTGCTGCTCCTCCATGTTTTTAAATTATGAGCGGTCACCAATGATTAGACTTATTAATTAAAATATCAGTGCAATTACTAGCTGCAGCTCTTTTTTTTTTTCCACAGAGAAAAATCCGATCTCACTTCTTTATTATTGCTGTGATCTCTCTATATTATCATAATTTGCTTTGAGGCTTTTATGTTACAGTTCTTACCAACAAACTGGTATTTCAAGAATCCAGAAATACATTTTGTTTAAAAGTAAACCGATGACTGAAATTTCATTTTATCCTGCTTTGTTATTTTCCACTGGAGAAGGTACTGCAGTGCTGTAAAATACTGGGGAATACAACTATAACCTCCATCTCGGTTTTTCTCGCGGCAGAAGCGTGTCGGTGGCTACGAGCTTGCTCCTGGCGATGAGAAAGACGCGTGTGAGATTCCTGGATGTTTGCTGCCAGTGAAACAGCTCCGGAACGCGGCCGGGTGGAGCAGGATGCTCTCCAGGATATCCAGGCGGGACGGAGCTCGACTCGATGGTTCGGCGCGGCCG